TGGACCAAAAAAATGGCGAGAGAACAGCGACGAAATTTCCCCTCCCTTGCCACTGATTCAAAAGCACACACACACTCATTGTCTCTCGCACAGCCGGAACAGCGTGATCCCTTTATGAATTGACATCTTAGTGCTGAAAGAGGGACATGCCACTGAGAGCGCTGAATGCACGCAAGTACCCAGCACTGCTTATTTCTGGGCAGCCCTATTTGAAGTCAGTCATTTGACTGAGAGCTTGGCGGGGAGGGAGAAGGTGGCAGGAGAAAGAGGATCCTCAGGCAAAGCCAGAGGTAAGAGACACTGGCACCACAAGTGCGGGGAAGGGCAAAGAAGATGCAGGCAAAACAAAACCCAGATCCAAGCCACAACAGGTTTTCTGCCCCAGCCTCCAAAACCAGGCAAGAATTTCCAGTACAGTGGGCAATCGCCCCCCAGCACATCCAGCCCTCCCCCCAGTCTCTCCCTGTTGAACATTTTTCTGAGACATTTTTGCCTTTCATCTGACCTGTGCCGCATTTCTTGGTGTTTTGTTTTAGAGTGAGGTAATCCTCCATTTCCTGTCATTAACTGGAAAGCACAAGCGCGGTGTTCAGAGAGACATCGTCTGACTAGAGCAGACGGATCCCAAATGCCGGCAGGGACCCCCTACCTCACCCCTGACGTTTAATACCACGCTCTGTGTGGGAAATGCAGATGGGACATCAGACAGGTCCTTGCTGCCACACTGAAGCAGCGGCTTCTGACCACAATCGTGTTACTAGGGGACAGAAGCTGGGGGCAAAGGAGAGCGCCTGGGAACCAGGGCTTCCGACGGCTGAAACACAGACAAGGACCTACCACTGCCCTGCTCTGCTTCACGCCTTACGGCACAGCGAGCAAGCGCACGCAGCAGAGTCTAAAATGGGGGGGGGGCAACAAGGCAGCATCAAAACTGGCTACACAGATTTCAGTCTGAAGGTAAAGGCCCCCCCTTGCCTGTACCTACACCCATGTCTTTAACCAGGGCTTTTAACAGTTAATGGTGGTAATGACTACCTGTGCCAGTCAGCCCCCATAAATCAGAACCGATTAGGCTAACAACCGTCACCAGCAGACAGCAGGTCATGCTGGAAGTGTACATCCCTATTCAGCCCGACAGACACTCTTCACAGCACAAGAAGCAATTTTCAAAGTCAATGCTAACTTGGGAGAAGAGATCTGCTCCCCTGCACCCCTCCCCACAACCAGCCAAAGCCGTCCAGGGGCTGTATGCACAGCAGTTTTTCCAGCTGAGCTCTGCAGTGTAATTATAATCACTAACTCATTGTGTTGACACTTACCTTAGGAGAAGTATCCATACAAGGAGTTAGTTATGCTAGGGCGACTTACAGCGGGATCGCAACTAGACTAGCAAATCCCCTTGGGAAAAGAAAACATCCTCCCCCCCTAGATTTTAACCACGCTTGGGGCTAAGGAATTGCTGGCACCAGTCACGTTAATGCAACTCCCATCAACACTCATTCCTCCGAGCAAAGCAGGCAAAGGAGCTCCCCACCGCCTCGGTTCAGGCACTTCACACAAGCAAAAATCCCCATACAAGGGCAAGAGACAGCGGGGCCGGGGCCAGTCCTACCCCTTGCAGGTAACCTGGCTGAGGTGCTGCAAGAGGGCTGAATTTTGGAAGAGGAGGCCTCCCTGAACCCAGCCAGGGTGACACGCACCAGAAGCGTCACCTCGGCAGCGTGACGCTCAGCTGCTAACATAGCACGGATGCTGTGCCCCGGAGAGGTGAGGGCAGAGACGAGCAACAGCCTTGGGAAGCAGCTTGCCACATTCCCAAGCGGTGAGTATGAAGAGAGATGTTCTGCCAACTACCTACCAATGAAAGCAATGGCCTCAGGAAAGAACTGTGAGAGGTTCTGGCTCCAGTGATCTGAGATGGGGATCTGCTTGTACTTGAACTCTCCGTCGTGCTCAAACATGTTTGGCAGGTTGGGAGTCACATTCAGGATGTATTTAATGCCGTATTTGCCCAGGACGTCCAAGTTGGTTGAATCTTTGGCACAGCCCAGGTACAGGTAAGGTAGGATCTGGACCGGAAAGGCAGGCTGATTGTTAGGGATGGGGCTCCCGTCCGACTCCGTGGCGCTGCTGGGTTCCCGGTCGGACTCGCCATCCGAGCAGTCAGAGCTTATCCGCAGCCCTCCCAGGCCAAGGACCGATGCTGGGGGAGAGTTGCTGGGCGAGGAGCTGTCAAGGTTCGTCTCGCAGTGTTCTGAATATTCAGTCTGAAACTTGTTAAAGCCACCTGGGAAGGGGGAAAGGAGAGAGAGAAGGGGAGAGGCAAAGAGAAAAAGATGGTTTATTCTTCAGAACGGAAAATCCTTCTACCTGGACACATGCATGTGCTACTTAGCAAGTCTTTGCCAGCAAAAAGTTGGTATACCTTCAACTTCACACCAGGAAAGGCATCTCCCTGCTCCCTCATTTTCCCTGGGTAGACTGCTACTGAGCTAACAGGTCCCAGGAAAGCAAAGAGTGTTCCTTACAGAGGTCATTATTGCTTGTGATAAATAGGGGCCAAATCTCAATCGCAAAAGAAACAAACATCGAAAAATAAAATCAATGGCAAGAGACAATCTTGCCTTGTTTAGCTTCTCAGAAATATGAGTCTGGGGCAGTTTAGGAAAGAGCTATTATGCCACCTAGACAGAAAAGCACAGAAGTATTTGTGTCTGAAAAGACAGCGCAACAACAACAACCACATACCCAGCCCAGGCATGAAAACCCAATAAAATAATTCACCTTTAAGCAGGAAAAAAGGCCGTAAGTTTTGCCAAAGGGCGATCCTCACACCTATTTTATCACTACAGGCGTGTTTTGCGACAGAGCAGTGTCACAGGTTTGTGCTTCACCCAAACGGCAGCAGGCGCGAGGAGGGATGGGACCCCTCACGCCTGCTCCTAAGGCCTTTTCTCTGGCTCCTTGGCTCAACAGTTTGGGAAGGAAGGCAGAGAAGCAAAAAAACCCACCAATCTACCTCCTTTCCAGGCAATATTAAACCAGAGCTCAGCCATCGGTATCTGACACTGACAAATGGTTTAATTAGAAAGGCCTCCTGGAAACTTTGTTAGTGGGTTCAGCGGTTGTGGTGGGGTCACTGAGCAGGACAGACAGCTCCTGCCACATCCATTCATGAAAAAGGCTCGTCCTCCCCTCCCCCCGTGCCGCCAGACAGCGCCGAGGAGCCATTTTGGAATTTTAATTGGAAACATTTCCCACCGAGGCTCCCGGAAAAAGGCAGAGAAAGGGGCTCAACTCCTCCCCTGCCCAACAGGGAGAGCTTAGGAGTAACTTCAAAGCTGCTCCTTCCTGCTAGGAACGAGGACAACAGGGAGAGGAACGGGAAGACAAAGCGAAGGAGCAACAGAGCCCATTGGGAAACCCCAAATCGGGATGGGATGGGGGATTCACCCACCAGCGCAGGCGGGGAGTGGAGGGAAAGTGGGACCATCCCCTGTGCTT